TAAAGGAGCAAGTGACTTTAAAAGGTTTTAATCAGAAGTCATTTCAGCAAATTGTAGCTGAACACAAGCTGCTGATAACTTCTGACGAGTTTACCCATCGAGATCAGTAAAAATGGACAAAATGACTCTTGAAGGCTAACTTATATAAACTAAACATAATAAAAATTATACTTCAACATTCAGTAGCAACTATTTAAATGAAAAAAAAAATCCATAATTTTGTTTTGTAAAGAAAATGTCTCATTTGTTTATAATGAGGGGTGGGATCTAAAAATTATACCGCAGCCCACCACCAGGGGGCGCTCATCTTTTAGGCTTCAGCTTCTGGTCCAGCTCTTCATCAATGGTTTTACTGAAGGCTCTTATTGTGAAAAATTTTAGGAAGTCTAGCATTGTGTTGTAATGGACACCGCTGTCTGAGTAATCAAAGATGAATTGTGTCTGGGGTTTCTCAGATCTGGGAACCAAAACAACCGTCCAACTGGTTTTTCCACCTCTAGATATCCCGGATTATAATCCTCGGAGTTAAACTTGACTTTGCTGTCTGAACACAGTCAGAAAAACAGAGTGTCAAACGAACGACTCCAGAAATGCTCCGACACGTTGAGGTTTGAAAGCCAAGCGACAACTTGTACTTTAGCACTGAGCTTCTTCAGTCCTGCATAGATCTTTTTATACGATTTAAATAGAAACTAAGGCGACGTGTAGCTGATGTGAGTCAGTAAGCAGTGAAAGTAAAAAAAAATTCAAGTAAGCTACAATTCTGCGTCTTCTCCCCCCACTCTCACAGGCTCCCCCTGTTCAGAGGAGGACCCCCAAACTCCTTCAAGTCTTTTTTTATACATAATTATCCAGAAAAGGTCCAGTGTGATTAATCAGCACCAAAAACACACGGAGCAAGAGCGGGGCAGCAAACTGAAACTTGCTCTTATTGTGGCGGGGAAAACAGCTTTACTCAGTCATAAAGACTCATCTTGAAAAAAAAAAACATTTTTCTTCTCTACTCACATTCAAATCAACCTCCTCACACACACACACACACACACACACACACACACAATTTTGTCCCTGTGTAAATTAAAAATAATTTAAGCTACTACTTAACAGTCATTTGTGGGAGCAGAGGCGACCAACAATAAACGTCTACAGACACGAGTCCCACGTTGTCGACAAACAGAAAAACACAAATTCAATAATTATATTCTGCTTTTCTTTACCTCTTTTTTGTACTGCAAGAACAAGGTTCCTATGATTTCATATAATCTTAAATACAAATTATATTACGTAGCGTACTACTGCTCTGGTGTACCACCACCTCGCTCACACTCGTTCCACAGTGATCAAGGTCAGTCGTATGTAAACATGTTGACAAAAAAAAAAAAAGACGAAGCCGAACTAAAGGACGTGTTCCTGCCATTCACTCGTCTTGTTCTCATCCCTGCTTCTTCAGGGAGATACAGGTCAGTTAATTCATCGCCACGTGAGGCGAGGAGGAGCTCCTTTATGTCCATTAGGAGCCGGTGAAGCTCCGCCCCCCCACACCTGCACGTGTCAATCAGAGATTCTTATTGGTTAGCGTGTCCTGGAGGGTGTGATGTCACCCTGCGCTCCTATTGGTCAGTGGGTTTTCCTCTTCATGTCTCCACTCTGGCTTTGGTTCACATCTGGGGGGAAGAGACACAAATCGTTAAAACAACAACCAACAAGACCATGCTCAATAATCCAGGTATACAATTCAACAATTTTCAGTCAGGTCATCTGGACGGTTTCTTTTATTGTGCTGAAACGTTTCACCTTCCATCCAGAAGGCTTCATCAGTCAAGGAAACACACAACACAAAACTGATTCTTCCCCCAAACAGCTTACTCCAAAGTGGAACAAACCAGTTATGTTGGTGCTAAGATGGTGTCTTTGGCACGCCCCCTCCTCTGGTGTCGTTAAACAACAAGTGTCTGGTTTTACGTTGTCTCTAATGTTGAACGCGTTAACCTCGTCACATGGCTCCAGTTTTACCTCCTATCTACATACAAAGTAGCAGTAGCATCATGCTAGCGTGGTATGATCTTCTAATGTAGCTAACGTGAGATGAGATGGTGCAGAGGGTGGAGAACGGTCCGATTGTGGATTATCGTCATGGAAACGTGCTGTTGATGTACAGCCTAATGAGGGAGACAGTCTGGGAGCAGGGACGACCTATTTGGTGAACACTAATAGCACAGCGGTGTTCTGGTTGCATGTTTTCTGATTTGCTCCCATCCAGCAGGTTGTACAGGTCGGGGGTGTCCAATCCTGGACCCCCAGGGCCGCCGACCTGCATGTTTTAGAGGTTTCTCTGCTCCAACACACCTGATAGCAATCAGTGGGTGACTAACAGGTTTCTGTAGAGAGTGGGGATGTCAATGTGTCGCAGCAGGGAAACAAGTCAAACCTGCGAGGACCAGGTGTAAGTGATATTAACTGGGTTGTATTAACTAGATAAAATTAAGTAGGTGATGTTAACTAGGTGATAGTTAATGAATAGGTGATAATAACTAGGTGATAGTTAATAAATAGGTGATAATAACTAGGTGATAG